AATGCTAATGTGGAGAAATGTGACTCTTAGGAAGCAGAGATACCCCAAGGTATGTTTCTCAAAGAATCCAAGGTTTTCTTAAAAAGGAGAAGTCCTTTTCTGTTGGGGAGTAAATCTCTCCTCTTAACCTCATCCAAGCATCTCTTGTATAGTCTCTGCATATAAATTGGAGAAAGTCTGCTAGGCAGGCTCACTTTGAACCCATTTTCTGTCTTTAGGATCTTTATTTTCATTCCTGAAACTTGTCAAGATATGTTTTCCCTTTAGATTTAACTTGGCTCACAACCCTAAGCATGTGTAACACCGAAACATGACAGTTTCAGAATTTTAGTTCTGTTGAAAACACTTCAGATCTTGATTTACTCAGGTTTGTCATATTCCTATGGGCTGCATAAATTTTTGAGTTTCTGCAGAAAACATAAATAAGATGATTTTGCTTATTTAACAAAATTTTGAAACAAAGGAAAACTTATATGCAGCCTGAAAATCCCAATGCTTGCAGCATTTGTAATAGAATTCTGCCCAGTGTTGACAATACATGGGAAGTCCTGGCAGATTCTTTAAATTCACCAGCTGCAAGGTGAAGTAAAGACCTGGCTTTCTTGGCTGGGAAGAGAACCTTCCATTTACTGTGGCAACAACTGGTTCCCATGTTGTTCAAAAACAGATTATACTATTAAATATTTGTCAGATAAATATTTGAAATATGATTTTTGTTTGATGAGTGCTGTATAGTAGATTAAAATCTTTAAAATATGAGCTCCACAAAGAGCTCTGCCACACACTGCAAACAAATCTATAGAATTCTGTCCTTAGGGCACAGCACCCACAGATGGTGCTAGGAGTAGATGCTTTGGGCTCTGATGAAGGATTGGCCAGTACTTATCATGGCTCATGAGTGATAGAATTTATGAATGGAAAGGTAGGGATCTATTCTTTGTTTTATATGTGTGTGTGCCTGTGCATATGGAGGCCTAAGGTAAATTCCGAGTATCTTCCATCATTCTCCATAGGATTTCGGGGGGGGAGGTATTTAGACAAGGTCTCACAGTCTAGCTCTGGCTGGCCTGGAACTCACTATGTAGACCAGGCTGGCCTGGAACTCATAGAGATCTGTCTATCAGGAGGCTGAGGAAGCCTCCCTGAGTGCTGGGATTTAAAGCATGTGCCACCACGCTTGGCCTCTTCACCTTTTTTGCGGGGACAAAGTCTTTCACTGAACCTGGTGCTGGTCATTTCAGCTAGACTGTTTGGCCAACAAGTCACTGAGCTCCTGTCTCTGCCCTGTCCCCCAGTGCTTGGGTTGTGGGTGTATATGGCCACACCTAGCTTTTTCACATGAGTGTTAGGGATCCAAACACCCGTCCTCATGCTTACTTAGGAAGCACTTGATCCATTGCACCATCTCTCCAGCCCTTCTTCTCTGTTACTTCATTATTATTATCTTTAAGTTTTTTTTTAATGTGTGTGTGTGTACCTGCCTGAGTTTTTGTACATCACATATGTGTAGGTGCTCACGCAGGCCAGAAAGCTATCAGATTCTCTAGAACTAGAGTTACAAGATGTGAGTTGCCTGATGTGGGTGCTGGGAACCAAACCTGGGTTCTCTGCAAGAACAGTAACTGCTGTTAAACATCGAGCCATGTCTCTAGCCCCCCCTCCTTTTTTTTTCCTTTTTTTAGAGACAAGGTCTGATATTTCCCAGGAACATTTGCTCACTTTGAAGTAGGTTGTAACATACTCTTTTTTTTCCCCCTAATTTATGTTCACATTTAGTGTGGTAAGTCTGCAAACCAGATAAAGAGACTGAGTAACTTTCGTTGAGGAGGGAGCATCTATATATTAGAATGTTCAGTACCAGTTTAGAGAGCCAGTGTGAGTTTTATTTAGGTGATATATTTGTATACAAATATTTTCTGTTGAGAAACTGAGCTTAGAATTTACCCTCCTGGGAGAGGAAGCACAGGGACTGTAGGAAGTAAGGCAAGCTTTTGGCCTTAGGCCAATCATCTCTGCTCTCTGCATGTTTGTTCCTCCATATAAAATAAAGGATGAAAACAGTGTCTTTTAAAAGTGGCTCTGGCCTTTTTACAGATGTGAATCTGATTGTCTTCTGTATTTAGAATACAGAGCATTTGGACTGCTTTTTCCCCTTGTAAGACTGGAGATTCAGCCCAGGGCTTCCTGTGTGCTAGACTGGTGCTCTCTCTACCCCTGAGCTGTATCCATAGTCCACTAAGTAACTTAAAGCGAAGCAACTTTGGTTTTATTGATTGGCAATCCTCTCTTAAATGCCTGTTGGATAACATAGACTGCAGAGTCTATGACATAGAATCATAAATTTTGAAGAAGCAAAAGAACCATTCAGTCAATTCCCAGATTTTGTCTCTTAGTTAAGACATACATCAGTGCTCATAATTACTATCCAATGACTGTGTCCCACCTTTCAGCCATAGGAACTAGCTGCAGATGGGATGCTATGGAGTAGTACTTTTGGTATCTTAAGAAGTTCATGACCCAGGAAGTCATTTGGGGTTTCAGGAGAGCAAAAGAGGGAACATGAAAGATAAGAAAGAGCCCTCTGGCCTTTTGCTGTCAGTGCAACTCATCAGGCTGGTGCTGTTTACTTAAAGAGCCCAGGCAATCTGAAGCATGAGAGTCACTCAAACCTACTCATGGGAACAAAAGTTCAAGGATGTGGTCTCTTTCTGGTGGGATGTTCTTTAAGTAACTTACTGAAGCCTGGCAGTTGAATAGGGCCAATTTCCAGATAAGCAGGGATGCTAATTACTAACCAAATCTAAATTTAGAGGAACTTTCAGGGCTTTTCAAAACCTGTTCAGATTATAGGCCTCATTTAAGCTGCTGAAGTTGAAATTACAGCAGTAACTTCTTAACTCAGAAGTGAAGGTCTTAAAGCTTGACAGCAGTAGAAGTCCATCACTGAAATGTTTCTGTTCCAGCAGAAACCATTCCTGACAGAAGCACATTAAGTATACTTTTAGGATCATGATTCTACTTGACATCATTTTGAAAACAAGACTTCAAAGTGTGGTATTGGTTGAGTGGTCTGGGTGATTAGTGCTAATTACACTGGAGAAATTTTCAAAGCTGGACTCTGCCACAATTTACCATGCACTTGTGCAGATGTAAATTTGAGTAAGCTATGGCCCTGCATCTGATCTGTCTTCTCCGTTCAGAGCCTGTCCATGACAGGCTAATATATCTAGAACACACTGGTTAGGTATCTGCAGGAGCTGAAATAATGCTGCATCCTTTGTTAGCCTATGGGGCCAGGTTGAAGTGTGAGATTTTCAGCAGGCGTTTATTGAGGTAATTAGTTCATGGATCTGACCTGCTTACCTTTCAGCCCCAACCACCATGATAAAGATATTACTTTGAGCTTCTCCATAGTGAATTGTATGGGTCCTTCCACCTTTTATCTAAGCCTCCTGCATTTGTTTCCCTTGAACAGTCTCGAATAAAAGAATTCCACTTGCTTTACAATCAACCTCTAAAGTGGGGCCAGAGACCTCAAATTGCTTTCTGATTCCCGGTTTTGGGTTATTGTTTGTTTTGGTTTTGTTTGTTTGTTTGTTTGTCCCCTGTGTGTTATAGAGCTAGGAAGACTCTCAGAGGGGTGGGGTTCACATTTTCTTCATGGGAGCTTGGAGAGCCAGCCTTTTGGTTGATTACCCCTGGCTGGTAAGAAATGAAAATCCAAGGCCTTAAAAAATGTACCATAAAATATTTGTTTCCTGTATTATGGTCCTACTTATTTAAATCTGCCCCCCTCCCATTCTAAATTAGGGGACAAAAAGATTACATAATTGGTAACCATGGACCCTACCCTCACCCTTAGTTCGCCAGCATCTTACTGATATTGAGGTTATATGGGCCTTGGAAAGGCAATTTTTGCAGTTCAGTCAGCATTGTTCAAGGCAGTAACACATCACTGAACAAATTGCCCCCTTGCATGTTAATCCTGCTTTTAAAAGAACTCTTTGTAGCATGTTCTGCTTTAGCCAGAGGGGAGATGGGAATTGAAGGGATATCAGATGTTGCCATGTGACCCCATATTATCAAAATTGCCTATTTTCTTTGGGTCAGCACTTTGTACTGATCATATGCTGATGAAAGTATGCTGTGTGGTATGTGGAAACAATCAGTTTTTGTTCCTCCTTTGTGTGTGGGTACTGCTTCTGCTGTTGAAGATTCACTGGGGTTTCCAGTGCTATTGCTAGCAGCACCAAATCTCGTTTTCCTTTAAAATTTTTTTATTATTATTTTTTACTTGCATGAATGTATTCCCTGCATATACGTGAGTGCACTCATGTCATATAATACCTGCGGAGGTCAGAAGAGGGCATGAGATCCCCTGGAATTGGAGTTAAAAACTGCTGTTAGTCACCACATGAGTGCTGGGAATCGAACCCAGGTCCTCTGCAAGAGCAGCTAGTGCTCTTAACCACTGAGCCATCTCTCCAGCCTCCAAATCTTTTTTTTTCAACAGTAAATTTAAAAAATTCAAAAATCTTTCATTGTTGCTGTGGAAAATGTGATTTGCCATTTAGGAAACCATGCTGTTAATCCCACCTTCGTCTTCAGTGCCTTTTGAGAATGACAAACAGTGACTTATGGTTATGGAATAAGCCTAATAGAGTAACCTCAGAATTTTCTCAGAGGTTATTTATAATCCTCACCAGGAAGTTGCAATGAGAGAGAATAAAAACACATCTGCACACAAACGGCAAGTGCCCATTTTTCCAACACTCAATAAAACAGAAGTGCATTTTAAGTAAGGAGGGCCTGAAAAACCCATCAGGGGTTAATGTGGTTTTAGGGTCCTTTTAAGTTCTAGAGAAATGCTAGACACTGTACTTAGAGGGAATGTGGTGTTGTCGGTGTCATGTTTCCCAAACACTTCTTCCAGGTTGACTTTTCAAGCATACAAAGAGGCCTGGGGAGAAATCTCTGATTAGTACTTTTTTATCTTGCAGAGTAATTCCCTCTTGGTCCCAGACAGCCTAAGAGGCACAGATAAACGCAGAAATGGGCCAGAGTTTTCCAGTGACATCAAAAAAAGAAAAGTGGATGATAAGGATTCTAGCCACTATGTAAGTGAATAGAGGACTTCCAATAGTAATTGTTTGTTTACTGCTTTTTTTCAAGTGAGTATACAAGTGTACTCAAGATTCTGTGATAATTCTGCATCACTTAATACTGTAAATCAGGTAAGTTGTGGAGCTACAATGTAGCTAGCTCTGCGGTAGAATACTTTCCTAGCGCATGCTAGGCTTTGGGTTCAGTCCCCAGCATAGGGGACAATAACCCAACAACAATAAATTTACAAAATATCAGACTGAATTGGGCCATTTGCCTTTTGGCCTTGGAAGTAGAGGTCTCTACACTGCAGCTATGTGGAAATTTAGACACAAGGCTTTTGTTTCGTGCTGGCTTGCTCAAGCCTTCAGCTAATAATAGGTAGCATTTTGTATGTACCAATGGAAGTTAATGCCACGAATCCTGTGCTGTGTCACAGATTATTTCATTTAATCCTTTTTTTTTTTTTTTTTAAAGACAGGGTCTCCTGTAGCCCTAGCTGGCCTGGAACTCACTATGTAGACCAGGCAGACCTCTGTCTCGCAGAGAGGCCTCTACTTCCTGAGTGCTTGGGATTAAAGGCATGCACCACCATGTCTGGCATTTCATTTAGTTCTTATTACACCCTGTCAAGTGGATTTCATCTCCATTTTTAGATAAAGAAATTTTCCCAGAGCTTTTTTTCTTAAATTTTATTTACTTTTATTTTATGTGTTTTGACCTTCATGTAAGTGCACCTGTATTGTGCAGTGCCCACAGTCACCAGAAGAGGGCATCAGATCTCCTGGAACTGGAATTACAGATGGTTATTTCTGCCATGAGGGTGCTGGGAATGGAACACGGGTTTTCTGCAGGAGCAGTCAGTGCTTTTAACTAATGAGCCATCTCTCCTGCCTTTTGCCCAGAACTTTTAGATGTCTTCCAAAGGTCATGGTTAGTGGCAGTCTGGAAAGGAAGTACCTTACTCCAAAGCCTTTCATGCTGTACTGCAGTCCTGAACCTGTTCTCAACATTGGCATTTCTCTAGCCATTCTCTCATCAATCTGTAGTTCATATCATGATTTGATAAACATCCCAAGAAACCAGAGTCGTTGGCTTTCCTCAGTTCCACCAAAGCCTTTAATATCCTGCCTCTGTCTGTTGCCCAGAAAGCGCATGTGTTTGCTTTCATTTGTGATAGTAAATGTTAATAATCACATACGTGGTCTATGGCATGCAGAAGATGGGAAATTTGCTGATACTCAGTTTTCTTACTTTTTCTCCATGAGGCTTGTATATTTAATTCAGCAGTTCAGGGAACTGGAATCCGTAATTTGGCCTGATGGTTTTGTTACCTGATGTGCTACATATATCTGGTTGATTAGGTGGGGCTAGGGTGATACTGAGATTGTGTTGGAGGATTGGGAGATGAAGCCTCAGAAGTTTACTATATGGTGCTGGTTTATATTTGCAGAAGGACCCAGTGCACAAAGCTAAAGTTTAAATTGTAGTAGACAAAAGTGACTTACTTCAGAGGTCTGTTACTAGAAAAGAAGGGATCAGGTACTAATGAAAGTATTTAGCTAAGATGAAGACTATCTAGTGTTTTGCAGCAAAGTAAGGATAGTATTGTTTACTACAACCTGTTACACCTTTTATGAAGAAGTAGAAGAAAGCAGTTTGACATCTCAAACATAGAGAAATGCTAAGGAGATGGGAATGAATGCTAACTTTTCTAATTTGGTTATTATAATACTGTGTGTGTGTATTGAATTACTACACATGGACTTCATGTCTGTCTAATTATGTTTCATTAAAAAGACTGGTTTTTCTAAATGAAAAAGGAATGCCATAGTAATACACTTTTTTCCACTTTTAGCCATTTCACCCTATATAGGATGTGGTCATTTTTATAATTATTTTTTCTAAAAGGGAAAGCTTTTTAGTTTATGCTTGTTCACCATTTCTAGCCTCAACAGCTGAGAACATTTGTGTGTTTCTCTGAGGTTCACTGAGAGAAACAAATTTTCTTTACTATTAGTTTTTTGGTTTTTTGTTTTTTTCTTTGAAAGTATTTCTTTCAGTAAGCTGTTAGTTTTGGATACTTTGGCTTCCACATTAGTTTCATTTTCTGTTACTGATGAACTTCATGGTGCTTCCTAACACTGACTGAGAAGTGTCTTCTAACACAATTGATAAAAGTAACCTAAAACTCCCACATGTAGTACAACTGTGATATAATTGGAAAAAGAAACAAAAACATTTCGTACCTGAAATGGGACTTAAGGCAGGCTTTCCAGCCTGCGCTATGGGCCACAGAAGGCAACTGAGGATAGTTGCAGTTACACATACTAATAGTTCTCAGATGCTATTTTTTCAGTTGTCAGTGAAATCAGGGTGATTTCTGTTCCCTTTAAGAGTCCCAATCCATTGGGATCTTTTGCTTTTTTCCAGATGCTCATTGTATTTCTCTAATGTAAAGGATATAAAGCTTCTGGTTGAGAAAATAGATGTTTCATCTATTTTCAAACTTTGATGTAGGAGTGATCTCCTTAAATTGAGCATCTTCTGAATTTCTCCCAGGCTCAGTGCAACCTTGGAGTTTCATCTGGTTAGCCAAACTTAACAGTTCTATGAGAAGGTATAATGATAGTGTCCCCCAATCCCCTCCCTCCTCTCTCTGTGTATGGGAGGGATGCGTGAATATGCAGGTAGAGAGCATGTATGTGGGGGGGTGCATAAATATGCAGGTAGAGGCCTAAAATTGACATTTGGTGTCTTCCTTGATGTCTCTTCATTTTCTTTTTTCTTTTTTTGTTTTATTGAGGTATGTCTCTCTTTGCACCTGGAGTTTGAAGAATCTGGCTAATGTAGCTAGAATGTCTCAAGGAATCCCCTGTCTCACTCTCTCCAGTTCTAGAATTACAAGTGATCCACCCCTTAAGCTATTTCTTCAGCCCCACACCGACCTTATCTCAGGATAACTTTTACTTTTTGCCCCATCACCACTTGAATACTGGCATTACAGGTGTGCAACACCACACTTGGTATTATATTATACCTGGTATTATATATTGCTGAGAATCAGATCCAGGGCTTTGTGCATGGAAGGCACTCCATCACCTGAGCTATATCACCAGCCCCAAGTTTGTTCCTTTATGAAATTAGATCTTTTTGTTTTCTGTTATATCTGTTAACCTCATGGGAAGATGGTTTAAGTAAAATTGTCTCTATAATTATGAGTTGCCTATAAGCCCCAGATTGACTGTGTATCTTCAAAATGATATGTGAAATTCCATACTTTGAAATCAAGTGGACAAAGAGTTACGATATAAAGGGATGCAGAGTTCAGATTACAAGAAAGTATTGAAGATGTTAGTTAAACCCTTAGAATGTATCTCCTATGAGCAAATTGTGAATGGGCAGCTAGCTTGCTACTACAGAAGAATTCTTGCTCAGAGGTTTACATACATCAGGTTGAAGGAGACATAAGGTCGAGGTAAGTAGCAAAGGACTAGCAGTCTGGAAGGGAGCCGGGAGGTGTGGCCTGAGCAGGTGTTTAGCTTGTGTGCTACCAAGAACTATAGAAAGAAATATAACTATGTTCATTCTTAACCTTCACTAAACTGCATTATCTTTTTTTTTTTTTTCAGGACAGTGATGGTGACAAAAGTGACGACAACTTAGTTGTGGATGTGTCTAATGAGGTAACCATGCTGTCTGATAAAGTTTATCCTGAATAGTGTTGAAAAACCCAGTTGTGAATGAATGATGTTGAGCTACAATATCTGTCTCCACATTTCAGAAACTAGTGTCTGTTTATGAATGGGGCAGTCCCTACATGACTAAAATTATAATTTCCTTTAAAAAAATGCGAATTGGGAATGTAGTTCAGTTGACCTCCATTTGACTAGCATCCATACAGATAGCTCAGGGTTTGATCCCTAGCACTGCCAGAAAGAAAAATCTTTTTCCCCAGGTCATTTTTTTAATTTCTATGTTGGATGCCTGGCTAGAAAAAAATACTTGGGCATTCAAGGGACATGATTGATTTCTCTCTTTCTTTAAAAAATATTTTTTATTTTTATTTTGTGAGTATATAGCCTGATTGTATGTAAGTGCACCTTTGTTCAATGCCCACAAGAAGTCAGAAGAAGGCATTGGATCCTCTAGAACTGGAGTTACATACAGTTGTTAGCCACCACATGGGTGCTGGCAACCAAACCCAGATCCTCTGCAAGAGCAGCCAGTACTCTTAACTCCTGAGCCATCTCTTCAGCCCCATGATTGCTTTCTTCATGATGTGTTCCTGTGTTGTAATTGCTGTCTCACTCATTTTAGAGACCTTGATAAGCATGATACCTCTCCCTCCAATCTAAATGTTTCTCAGTATTACCCTTTAGTTGAGAGAGTATGAAAAAGTTTGTCCATTCTAAGCTAAAACATGAAAATTTCTCATTATGTTGAGGACCCTTCTTCTCCACATGCAAGTCCTGCACATTCACCCCGGGAAAATGGCCTTGACAAAAACCGCCTGCTGAAGAAGGATGCTTCAGGCAGCCCTGCATCCACGGCATCTTCTGGAAGCTCTTCTTCCTTGAAATCCAAAGAAATGAGCCTGGTAGGTGGGGGTTACTTCACCTGGGTAGCAGTGCAGTTTTCTTTGTGATACACAGGACCCTGCAGTGTATGTGAACTAGGACTCTTGCTTGAAGGCTGTGTTAAAAAAAACTCTCTCTGTCCCATTCACTGCATTCGCTGTTCTGCTTTTGCCTCACATTTGTCTCTCTTGGGCCATGATTAGGGTGGGTGTGCAGGCTTTGGCATGTTTCTTCCTTGGATAGGTTATGTCTATAACCCAGAGCTCTGTCACACTTACCAGCTGGTACATTATTGTCTTCTTGTAGGTCTTGAGGTATCTTGATTTTGTTAAGCTGCTTGAACTGTCATGCCAGGGCATGTCACGGAGCATGCTCCAGCATTAGGGAGCAGTCAGAACAGCTATGCACATAGGGAGTCCTGGGACTTGTGTTGGTAAACACATCACAGCCGCTCATGTGATCATTTATTCACTAAACAAACTGCGTGGAACTGATCATGATGGAGCACTTTTGTAACACCAGTACTTGGGAGGATAAGGCAGGAAGCTCTTGAGGCAGAAGCCAGGTGGTGCTGTATCATGAAACAGTCTCATAAAAGAGAGGGGCAGGGGAGGAGGGAGAAACTTGGTAGAGTGTATCTCCTCTTCTCTCTCAAGATAATGTCCTCTGTCTAACTTTTACATGGTGACCTCAAGATTATCCTTTTATTTGTAGGAAGAAAAGCCAAGCCTGAGTAACTTTCTGAGACCGTCAGCCTATCAAATCCTAGGCCAGAGCTGGGGTCGCTGGCTCATCCTTTTTTCAATACCATACCACTGCTTGGGCTGCATTCTTGGGATATGAGGGTTGAGAGAAAAGATGTCCTTAAAATTCTGTCACTGCCTCAAGTTGTAAAGGTCTTTGGCAGGTATTAAGTCTCCCATCTGCACTAGTGGATTCTCTGACTGGGTAGCCAAATGGGTGGCTATGCTTACTCCAAAGAATTATTCTTTCTAGGCTCTATCTCAAAGACTATGGGAAGGGTGGTTCTAAAGCATCTGCCTCTATGAAATGTTGGTTTGCTTCTCAAATAATAAGTAGCTCCACTGTCTGTCCTCATCATTCTGCATCCCTGAGCTGCATAAAGACAAGGTTGGATAAAGGGTTTCCCCTCAGACACTCTTGGTGGCCAGGTACACCTTTCCAAGTGACCAACAAAGAGTCCCTGTGTGGTCGGCATTTCAACTTGGCATTGAGCCAGAGTCCACAAGCTTGATGGAAAATTCTTTTTAAAATAAAATTTGCAGAGGAAGAAGTATGACCGTGTTCTGTGTCCCCAGCTTGAGTTTTAATCTGGGAGGAAGAGGAAAGGTCAACATTTCTTGCTCACAAGTTAATGCTGTCAACATTGTGTGGATTTATGAAAATTGGCTGGGGAGTAGCTAGAAGGTGCCCAGTGTCCCAGCTGCTGTTGTGATAAATTGTGTAATATGGCTTGGATTAAAAATAATACTCATTTAATTTGTTTAATGATCCCAGCATGAAAAAGCCAGCACACCCGTTCTGAAATCCAGCACACCGACACCACGGAGTGACATGCCAACACCGGGCACCAGTGCTACTCCAGGCCTCCGTCCAGGTCTCGGCAAGCCTCCAGCCATGGAGCCCCTTGTCAACCAAGCGGGTACAGCACCCTTTTCTGTGTTCTCCTTCTCCCATCCCCAGCTCAGTATGTTGTCTGTTAATCTTATAATGCTGTTCCCCCATGAATTTGAATAGCTAGCCTCCCACCTTCCTGCCCCTGAAAAGGCATGGTAAGAGACAGATGTTTGTCCTTGGGTTTCAGTAGCTGCACCAAGTTGTCGCCAACTGTTTACATCCTACTTTGGTTTTATTCCCAAATAATCCAAACCCTAGGGACTACAGTAACATTTCTGATAATTTTTCCGAATATAATCTCCTTAACAAACTGTCATTGTGTGCTGAGTTTACTAATATTGACCAAAATGGCTGATTTTTTTCCAGCTTAGGCATGCATTTTGCTGCCTGTAGTTGACTGCTTTTCTATTGATACATCTTCAGGAATCAGTGGTCCTTCTTTTGCTGGAAGTTGGGAGGGTTTCACTGAGACTCTAGCCATGAAGCCACTCATCACTTTCAATTTGATCTTCCTCATTGGACAAGTTAAAAAGTAACAGCCCAAGTCCGAAGGTAGTAGGCACCAAATGCCCCTCCTACAGCCCTGCTCTGGTTTCCACAAATCTAGGATTTGGTTTTCATTTGGAATTGGTCCCAGGGAGTGGAAAATTCAGAGTGAAGGAACAGTCTTAGATTTTATCCAGAAAGTCTTCTTTTGAGATTAAATTAGGTAAACACAACATCTGTGCCTTGGTTTGCCTTTTGTGAATTGGGTGCAAAGATGTTGATTAATCTTCCTGGCTTCCTGGTGTGGCTGCTTTGCAATGAGAAATTGTGGGGATTGTGCTTTCTATCCTAGAGAACTCAGCTCTTAGGAGGGATGGACCCTGTGTATAGATTGGTGCTGACCTACCCCTAAAAACGTTTCCTTTTCTCCCTCCCTATCACCATAACATGTGACTGAAATTGCTGGTCAGGTTTGACCTCATGGTCAGTCCAGTCACACATGCCATGCTTCCTTTCAGCAGCTGGCCTGAGGACGCCCCTGGCGGTGCCTGGCCCATACCCAGCCCCTTTTGGCATGGTGCCCCACGCAGGCATGAATGGAGAGCTGACCAGCCCTGGTGCTGCCTATGCAGGTCTGCACAGTATGTCTCCACAGATGAGTGCTGCAGCCGCCGCAGCTGTGGTGGCCTATGGGCGCTCCCCAATGGTAGGTCACCATCTTTGACATGCCCCAGGAAGTAGCCAGCCCAGGGGCTGTGGGTCTTGGGGAACAGAGCCTAAGGTGTGGGGCTAGGGTAAAGGGGCCTCTGGGTGCATAGACTGGGGTGAAGGGCATTGTGAGTAGGCCTGGTGGGTAGGCCTAGAATGTATGACCTCACTGAGATTCAGGGAGCCCCAGGCTTTAGGAACAAAGACCAAAGATACCCATTGTTGAAGATACATATTTGCCTTCTCTTGTCAGCCATGGTCAGCATCTGGGTTCATTAGTCAGAGCCACAATCCCTCTTGCTTCACTGTTTCTGTGGATGATAAAAACAGTATTTAGAGTTCCTTCCTTATGGGGTTCAGGGATATTGGGTTTTCCCCTACCAAAGTGAAAACATTTCAATTTGAAGATGTTGAAGTGATACTAATAATTTTTCTCTAGTTTTCTTAAGCTGTTTTTCTTTCTCTAAATCTTAGAAGAAACATTTGAGAAGCCATAGTGTTCTTTTTCCATGCCTTTTTGTTCTTTAAAGCCAATGCCCTGGCTTATATAAAAGAAGTGAATTATGCATAACATGAACAAATATTAAACCCAGAGAGCTAGTCTCTCCTGTCTTCTTGTCAGCCTTCTACCGCTGAAAATGGCCATTTCTGACCTGAAAGATACACAACTACATTTGAAGAGTAAAGCTGAATCAGGAAAGGGTATAAAATACCGTTCATAGCACATCTTTCCTATGGGCTATTTAAAATACATCATGTATTTTTTTCTTTACTTCTTTAACTGGTATAGCGCCTTGTAATTTGGTGTGATAAAGAGCTAGTTAATATGGTACACAAAACAATTATTACATGTGATAAGTGACATGCAACACGAGAGATTTTTGTCCACTGGATATATTTTTGATTATTACAGTTGGGGGGTGGGGTGCTACCAGCATGTGAGGATAGTGGTCTAGAATAGTATACAGCAGCCCACGGTACCCAGGATAGCCTTCAGAGAAGAAAAGAATGATCTAGGCCTCAGCATCAGTGCTAGGCTAGTCAGTATGCTCCTGGCACTTGTTGGTGAGGCAGGTCATCCACTGTCTGTGGAAAATACTAGTGCTCAGTATAAAATCCTCCGCTTCATAAAAACATGTGTCTTGTGATGTTTAGACATGGTTCTCTGAGTTGCCATGTTGTATGTATGTTTCCTTTTCCCTTGTTACTATTCCCATTTCTGTTACTTAGGGGATGTAGGGATTTCTTATGTTAAGCCTATGTTCTCAAAGTACCTGCCTTGCATAGAGTGAGTCTGCCATGCTTTACTTTTATTTCCAGGTTGGTTTTGATCCTCCTCCCCACATGAGAGTACCTTCCATTCCTCCCAACTTGGCAGGAATCCCTGGGGGGAAACCGTAAGTACTTTTTCGTACCTTGGTTTTGGTGTGTTTCAGAAGTGGTGGTGTTGGCAGCCCTGAATTTCCAAGGGAGGACAGGCTCGAGTGTTTCCAAGGAGACCTCTAAGGAGTGTTAATACTTTTTTCTAAATGGGTAGCTTATAGCTGTCATGCCTCTGGCTTTCCCCATGGTGAGTTCATGCATTGGGTTATCTCTGGAGAGAAGCTATTGGAGGTGAGGACAAAGTGAGAGGAGTAAGTAGAGGTGGTTGGTCATCTTCACCTCACCCTTCTGCAGAAAGCTGTTCTGCCTTAGTGTTTGGCAGGAGAGCAACTGCCAGAGATTTCACTGCTGCTGTCCTGGGAGTGGTGAGCTGTCAGGAACTCTCAACTCTTAGGTGTTTGAAATGCTGGCCCAGGAATGTGCAACCTTTTCCTTATTTCGGTATAAACAAGTTGATGGGTAGGTCCACTGGAAAGCCCGTGTCCAAAGATGACCTGTAGTTACAGTTTTGATGAATGCATTACCCTACTGGATAACACTTACCAAAAGCAAAGTGGCCATAATGGAGAAACAAGAGACATAGTTAAAGAATACAAAAGCATCCAGAATGTGGAAACACTTAGCTGGTTATTCTAAGTGACCTACCAAAACAAACAAACAAAAAAATTACCTGCTCTCCATACATGATATTGGTTAGCTAAAGTAGAATTCTCAAGTTGTTTTTTTTTTCTCCAGAGAAAAGGCATACAAGTTTATTAGCATGTATATATACAGAGTACTCAAAATAGGAAACTCAAGCAAGGGCTAGAAGGCTTAAATAACCTCCTCTTAGGGGAAAGAGAAGTGGAGGCTGTAGGCCCTTTTAGAGGAAGTATAAATAATTTTTAGTGGAGTGGGGGTGCTCAGAGAACAAATAGTGGCTGGGACAAGACTCTTTGGGCACTGGGTGAGGTTTTTGATTCTTAGATTCTCTGTGATGTGGGTTTCACCTTTCTTGGTTAATGAAATTTCAGTAAGCAATCATGTTCCTGTAGTTATAGATTTGGTTTTTACGTAGATAAGGAGACTGCAGGGAAATCTTAACCTCTGCATTCATTGCCTCCCAGGTACTCATTTTCATGTCCTTTTCTGAACCCCAAATATTAACAATTGTTAAATGTTAGACATGTTAATATCAAATGGAGACCTACTTTTAGGTGATACCACAAAGGTTAAAACAGAATAGGAAGAGGATATTTTTCTTGGGTTGTGATACCCAATACATAGTGCATTCCAGGGTCACCCAAGATTATCTCTTGCATGGTAGCATTGGGGAGTACAGCTTCAACAGGATGCTGCTAAGATCCTGTTGGTCTTAGATACTAGGAGTAGAAGTGATTTTTTTTTTTTTTTTTGAAAACTGTCCAGTGTAAATAGGTGGAGGATGGTGATTTAAAGGGTCGGTAGCAATATGTGGTTTAATCTTTAGTAGATTTTTAAAATGTTCTACTAAGTATTATGTTTGCTATGCAAGTACTCTAATACTGAGCTATACCCTCAACTCCTTTATTTTCTGTTTCATTTCTCTCTGGTAAGTTAGGCAAGTCTTTTTTTTTTTTGCATTCAGAATATCAGTTACACTATAAGGTTGAGAGACAGAGAAAAGAGTGCACAGAAAAGTCAAATGCCATCATGCCTCCTCCCTCCCTCCCTCCCTTTTTCCAAAGACTTAGCTCCAAGGGAGTTATAAGAGGGAAAACTATTGTAATTGTACTTACAATTAAGAGCTTGGGTATTTATGCAAACTGCTCCCAGGGATCTGTGTAGGGATGAATTTTAGCCTCTGTAGAATTTCATGTCCTGCTCCTGTTCCTTAGTAGAGTTTATATTTATGGCAGTGTTTTAGTTCTTTCAGAATATTTGGTTTTTAAAAAAGATTTATTTTATTTTTATGTGTGTGGGTATATGCATGTGGAGGCCAGAAGAGGGAGTTGGGGCCCCCTGGAACTGAAGTTACAGGTGATTGTGAGCTGGGTACTGGGGATGGTACTCATGGTACTCAGTCCTCTGCAAGAGCAGAATTCTCAAGTTTCATATAAAGCAGAATTGAAATATGAAGAGGTCAGTGTTTACTTGCAGCAAATTCTGTTGACATAGATATGTGTGCACGTGTGTGTGTGTGTGAGAGAGAGAGAGAGAGAGAGAGAGAGAGAGAGAGAGAGAGAGAAAGAATATGCACATGTGTATACAGATGCCTTTGTAGGCCAGAAGAAGGCATCAAGAGAGAGAGAATGGCTGGAGGCATTATAAAATGTAGACTTTGTGATGAGGGGTTCTGAAGAGGTATGTCTTAGGCCTCCCGGTAGTAGTTTCCGGTGGTTGCCTTCACCTTTTATCTGTGCACCATGAGGTGATATGAAGGACAGGTGGCAGCGTGCTAAGAATTAAGAGCTACAGTTTTGCTGTAGCAGCTGGTATTCGGGGTGTGCTTAATGTGTATCCTATTCCTTAATACTACATATGCATGTGTTTGTGTGCTTAGATTTGTGTGCGTGCGTGTGTGTATATGTGCACTCACACACATACATTTGAAGCAGAAGACAGTGATATTCTAATCGCAACTGAAAAATCCTTTCTTGACTTGTGACCATCTTGTATTTTTTTGTGTTCAAAGCTGTGTTAATACCAGGCTTTAGTCCCAGCACTTTGAAGGCGGGGAGAATTACAATTTTGAAGCCAACCTGGGCTGTATAGCAACTTTGTCTCAAGAACCACAAAAACAACAGCTCTGAGATAGGATTATAGTATGCATAGAAACAAGGGATATAGTACTGAACTGTAAAGACTCTGGAGATAATTTGTTCTTAGCTTTTATTATATAACATTGCTTCAGAGATTTATGGTGACTGATGAATATTTTCTCAGTCAAAGGATAATATATATTTTTTATATGTATCAGTATTTTGCTTGCATGTATATTTGTGCACCACATGCATGCATGATGCCCTCAGAGGTCAGAAAAAGGTGTAAGATCCTCTATAACTGGATTTTTGGATGGCTGTGAGCCACCATGTGGGTGCTGAGCACAGGTCCTCTGCAAGAGCAGCATTAAGTGCTCTTAAATGCTGAAAGAACTCTCTCGCCCAGAAAGAATGTTATTTTTGAAACAGATTAAAGTGAATTTTAAAGAAAAGACACAAATCCAAGTCCTACTTTTTTGGTTGTTGTTATAAGACCTGACAGCCATAAATTGACTTGCTAGTTGCTTTGTAAAGATCTCTAAATGTTCACCCCTGGTTACTGTGCTCATTTGTAGCAGATGGTGGGATATGTTTATAGAACACACTTTGAGTAGGGCTGATATATGGCACTTAAGAGAAATGAGGACAAATAAGCATATCTAGGGTAGGGTAAACAAGGTGTAAAGGTTATACAAGCAGTTCTTTTAGAAAGACCAGCTGAAAGAGTGTTGGTTAGGGCTGCTGGAGGCAGGATGGCTATCCATGGCCTCATAGCATGACCATGTTTGAAGTGTTGTGCAGACTAAAGATTCTCTCCAGGAAAAATAACTCTCCTTGTGTTACCTGCTCTGGGGGGAAATGATAGTATGGTCATTAAAAGAACAAGTGTCAGCCAGAGTTAAGCTTCTGGTAAGTACTGGCAGAGAATTAGGTGATAAGCAAACATGTAAATGAGTGAACAGAATTAGGATGGGAAAAACCTCCGTAGGATGAGGCACATACATGAAGCTAAAGCTTATGCAGGAAGGAATGGTGTACCAGGGTCCAAGGGGAGGGACACCCAAATTGTGCACAGAGCAAGAGATACAGGTCTACTGCACACATGGATGAGTGCCTCCAGATAGTCCAGCTATAGGGACCTTCACATCCAGGTAGTGTAAATAATGTGTATATAAGTTTCAAGTCTGCTTTGCTTACCTCTGCACACAGCAGTATACCTCTGACCACATATGTCCAAAGACAGGATGCTTGGGGATGTGAAAACTCTTTTAATCCTTGAGCTGCAGTTCAGTTCCCTGGATTTTAACTCCTCAATCCTTGTCACTTCTACCCCCCCCCCCCGTGCCTAGGCCACGCTGTGCTGCTAATCTGTCATCCTATTGATGTGCTCAGAAGCCCCATCCCACCAAATGGCCTGACTACCCATTGCTTTCATGCTGTCTTACAGGGTACAGTTTGAGGTGCCCATATCTGCTCACCAAGTTCCTTCCCATGTATCTCCCACAGTTTTCATTAAAATCTACTGCCTGGCTAGAAAGGGACCCTGAATGGGAGCTCATAGCCTAGGAAATGTATGGTAGTGAAGAATCATGTCTTCTCTGCCTTAGAGTCTCCCTATGGTCTCAGGAATTAAACCAGCATAAAACAGTGTAACAGAAGAATGCTACATAAGTTCTAGTAAAATTTTATGTGTACTTGGGAGTCCTCACTAGAAAATAAAAATGTAAAGAAGTTACCAGAGAGTTCTTAGACATTGTATATGTAATACTGAGCATGAGGGAGACATAATATAGATAATATTGAGCCTGAGGTACAGAGGAATGCCACTTGGTGATGGTCAAATTAGGAGTCCTTTATTGGCATGTGGTAGAGGGGATTAATGCCCCCCAAAAACTCTCGAACCTGAGGAGAGGCAGAGTGAGATTTACAAGGCTTAAGTCATTAATTATATCATGCCAGGGACAAAGCCAATAGCCATAGTTACATCAGATCACCATAGTTAGAACAGTCCAGGGGTGGGTCAGTTAACAGAGAACTTTTCAGTTAACAAAAAGTTTCAGTTACAAAAAACAAATTTCTTAAAATTGCAGAAACAATGGACTTCATTGAGATGCTGGGAGAGGACATGCTGCCTGGCTATTTGTATGTTTCTTGGTATTATAGAAGCAATGTACCCCCTGAATCTACAGGTACAGCCTTCATGGGACTGGTTCTGGTTTGTTGGCTGCACTTGGGGGCGGGGGGTGGGGATCAGCTAGAACAAAATGGAGTCATTTTTGCCATTTCAGTATAGT